GAAGTTTGTTTTAAGACTAATTTCGAGTATTAACAATGAAAACGTGATATTTTTATTGTTAATGTATTGCAAAATCGTAAGCATGGGTTCTCAGTAATAGAAATCAAAGAAATTGAATTTCGTTGATTACAGCGCCATCTATCATGAATCGAGAAAAATGTTTCAGACAAATTGTATGTGTTTTTAGCCAAAGATTCCGAATATGCAATAAAAAATAGGGGTTCCCATTTAAGATTTAAAACTTGCTCCCCCTCACCGCCCAGGGGGCGGGGTTGGGGGTCTGATTTTAACGTCATTGTATGTCCCCCTCGAAATGATGAAATTTTGATTCTTAACATTTTTTTCGTAGTGTGCTTATTTTTTGAGATATTTGAATGTCTCAAGTTAAAAGCATCACCCTGTATAACTAAAATATATATCTAAAAAATATATATATATAACTCTATAGTTAGAGCACAGTATACTTGAATAATTTTTAGAGTAAGGATTGTAGGAAGAATTGTTGTAAGAGTACATTGTTTGGTTTAGGTTGATATGAAAAGTATAGTAGCTTATTCTTCTGTAGTTCATATGAATTTAATATTATGTAGATTAATAACTTTTTTAAAAGTAGTATTAATGGGTGTGTATTTAATAATAGTTGCTCATGGATTGTGTTTATCGGGTATGTATTATCTTGTAAATTTATATTATGAACGGTCAGGTAGGCGATTATTAATATTAAATAAGGGGATAGTAGGAAATTTACCTTCAATTATAATATGGTGATTTATATTTTGTGTAGTGAATTTTTCTTTTCCTGTGTCTTTAAATTTTGTGGGGGAGATGATAATATTGATAAGTATTGTAAATTGAGATTTGGGTGTAATGGGATATTTAATATTAATTTGTTTTTATATGGCGGATTATTCATTATATTTATTTTCTTATGTGTATCATGGGAAAAATACTTATTATGAAGGTAAAATTTATAATTCTGAGTTAAAGGGATTTATAGTTTTAAATATACATTTTTTTCCTTTATTAATATTTTTGTTTTTAGGTAGATTTATATAGGTAGAAGTAAATGTTGAAGGAGGTAGTAGAATGTTTATTATAAAAAGTTTGTTGAAAAAATAAAGAGAATTTAAGTAGTTTAAGGGCAGGTTCCCGTTCTAAGGCCCAAAAAATGCCTAAATTTCAGGAATTTTTTTTTTATACAAAATAAAGTATTCTGCAATAACTTTTTTGTAGGTTTTATTTGTATATAAAAGAAGTAATTTACTGAATTTTTTCATAAAAAAATATTTCAAAATGGCGG